AAGAAGAATCCACCGCGCTTGCAGGTTTTGTCTATGCGGGACATTCGCAATATCTGAAAAATTAAGGGCAAACCGCGTGTGGTGCTCAGCAATGCCTCGAAGAAACAGGACGAGGTGCGAAAGTGGGTGCGGTTCATGGCGTTGGCAATGAAGAAGACGCCGTACACGCCTATCTGGAACCTGTTAACGGAAGCAAAGAAAAGAAAGGAATGGGCTGAGAAACTTCGATACTACCTCCCGCTGGCCATGGCAGATGACTCCGTCTTCGCTTTGGGGTTGAAGTTCTATGAGGAGTGGTCGAAAGGGAAACTCCTTGCTTCCGATGGCCGGTGTTGGACTGAAAAGCCGCGCACCCATGAGGAGGTGGCCAAGCCAGGACTCTCCACTGTGACTGACAGCCAGGGGCTGAAGAAACACGTCTGGTACGTGAAGGTGGACGACCCGTCGTTGAAAAAGGGCAGGGGGAAGCCAAAGAAAGGCGTGGAGGAGAAAACTTTCTACGTCCAAGTTCCAGAGTCGGATGTCCATTGCTGGAAGGAATTGGTGGACTTGACGGACCGCGAGAAAAAAAGGTTGTTGAACGGCATCTTGAACCTTAAAGTCGTGTGGGTTCAAACGAGTAGCAAAACGTTGGCCGAGCAGGGGAAGTTCAGTGTCAAGGAGATGGTCGACATAATAAAAATGGACCGGATTATGCTGAGGCTGTGGCACCACGTGGAGTTCGAGTACGAGGAAATGGATAAGCGGGAGTGGAATGCCAACTCCACGTTCTTCAGATCCAAGAAGCAACTATTCGAAGAGTTCAAGGACAGAGGTCTCGACGACAAGCTTTGGAACGAAAGCAGGAAATTTTTCACGGACACCACATACGTCAACAAGTGCCCTCAGTTTCTCGGGTGTCAACACGACAACAACATCAAGAGAACGGCGGCCCTCGTCAACGACCAGCATTTCCCGGCGGAGTGGAAGCGTGTCGTCCTTTCGGTGATCACTGGAGATCACGCCAAAGGCAAAAAAAGCCCTCGGGGCGTTGATGAATGCATCAACATTATGTGGACAAGGACAAGCACCTTGACGACGCTGGCCCAGTTTAACATCGACCCATTGAGTGTCAGAGATCATAAGGAGGCGCTGGGAAAACTAGGGCATCAACTACGCTCCCACACTTGCGTGCTCGACTTGTGCGGTGCTGTGGACCGTGCGCAATGGGATTCTGGGGCATTCGCGTCTCTGAGTGAGTTGCTCGGCGTCGTTTGTCAGGACTACTGGACATTGGTGGTATTCGTCCCCTGCCTGTGGAACCTCTCCTTCATGACATGTTTGTCTGCGCTTGGGGCAGCCCGATCCTACACGGGGAAGTGGGTTCGGAAGACGGCATCGAAGAAGACGCATCAGTTCGGAAACAGCGTCTGGGAGGAGCCGGATGTGATGCACATCCTTTTCAAAGGCGAGGATCCTTGGCTACTGACTCACCCGGTGTACGAGCGAGCTGTTGCTGAAGACGACGACGCCGGTCTTCGGAGGAAACAGAAAGTGACACCCACGGATGTGGAGGAGAAGTCTTTAAAGTCTTTGACTTTCGCGGACATCGGAAACCTAACCCAGAGGGGGGCTCTGTACAAGGACGGCGAGCGGAATCCGAATTAGTTGTGCAATCAGCTTCTTTTCTTCTGTGGTGTGGCGGATGCCATGCTGTTTTTGGGCAAGCCGCATGCGCAGGTGGTGTGGAGTCTGCTTCAGCAGGGAAGGCACGTCTTGGTCGTGGATGGGGACACAACGCAGCTCGAATACACCGTGCAGTATGTCACCCATGAAGTGTCGTTCAAGGCTTACCCATGTGATTTCCACCATGTCGTGGTCGAGCCCGTTTATGACCCGAACAAGGACATGTTCTTCAAGTTGACTCCGAAGAAAAGGCGCCAGGTCTACTCCTTCCTT